CAGCACCACAAAAATCAGATTAGGAACACAAGTTGAAATAGTGAAGAAAATGGTAAGTGAGCACCTGTCTACCCTAGATGAGTTCAAATCACCAGGANGATAGATAGATAGATAGATAGATAGATAGATAGATAGATAGATAGATAGATAGATAGATAGATAGATAGATAGATTCCAGTTTTCAATCCAAATCCCCAAATGCCAATGCAGAGAAGTCACACAAAATATTCTCTGTAGAAGCTTCAAGTAATTAAGAAAAAGCATTGAGAGAGAATGAGCTTTCAGGACCCTGGACAGATCACTAGGAGCTGAACACTTGGGTCCAGCCAGTTGTTGCTCCAACTGAGGTCATATGGATGTTTGAAATCTTCTTGCTACTCCTCCAAGGCCCAATCAACCATCTCCAATTGAAGATACTCTCAAGTGTTTTGTCTTAGAGTCCCAGATGGTACTACTAAGCCTAGAACTTTCTGATGAGAGAGATTCTAATGTATCTCAAAGCCAGTCTTGTAAGTGAAGGCTCCGCAGACTTCACTTGGGGACTTTGAGGCTACAACTTTCATTACTGATTGTTCTCTCTGCCTTGTGTATTTCTTAGTTCTGGCCTAGTGCAATATCCTGACTGTTCTTGTATGAGATGTTTTTACTAACGATTGACTGTGTGAACAAATATCACAAGTATCCATGGGAAATAAAAACCTAATGACTATATCCATCTATATCAGTTATGCATGGGTGGATATTAAATCAATACATTGGTCCCTTTGTTATGGTAAAGTTCACGTTGTCAGATTAAATATTAACAATAGAACACTGATTTTGTTAATTGAGACTTTTCCTCCCCCAAGGTTTGCTACTAAACTAATGAAACATACTGTATGTTCATACTTGATATTTCCATGGCAACATTTCCTTTATCATGCAGATCAATCTATCAGTGGCGAAAAGAGACCAAGGAGAGTGATGTACTGGCATTCCATTTTGTCATTTGCTTTGCAATATGAAACCATCTTCCTGTTCTGGTTTTGGTATTAAATAAACATTGGAGGTTCAAAGTCTAGTAATAAATTTAGAAGAGTTCCTGTAATCAAGTGAACTGGATTTAGAAGGAATCAGTGTTAATAGTAAACTGATATTTGAATGGGCCTATCAATTTAGAGAGGACGCAGTGGCTTAGTGGATAAGATGCTGAGCTTGTCGATCAAAAAGGTCACCAGTTCAGCGGTTCGAATCCCTAGCGAGCACCCGTTACTTCTCCAAGCTTCTGCCAACCTAGCAATCCGAAAGCATGTAAAAATGCAAGTAGAAAAATAGGAACCACCTTTGGTGGGAAGATAACAGTGTCCCGTGTGCCTTCGGTGTTTAGTCATGCTGGCCACATGACCACGGAGACGTCTTCGGACAATGTTGTCTCTTCGGCTTTGAAATGGAGATGAGGACCACCCTCTCGAGTTGGGAACGACTAGCACATATGTATGAGGGAAACCTTTACCTTTTAAACCAGTTGCATTTACAATTCTGATATAATTTACTATTATTAGTTTTGGCAAATTCTGGCTAGAACTAGATTTGTAAGCTTAGACCCAACCAATAAGAACTCATGTTTGAACAGCCTATCAATTAGATGCTAAACATGACAGAGGTTACCTCAATTTGCTCAACTTGAAATGAACTATAATGAGCTTTGATCCTAAACAAATGAACAATAGAGATGGGATCATCTGCACCATCTGGCAGAAATCATATTTCTAAATATTCACAGCTGAAGACGAATTCTAAATGGTTTCTAATTAAATTTAAGAACAAACACTTTGAGTAGAGACAGATTTAAACCAAGATCCCAGTGCTGAGATTTTTGATTCCAAAATCAAAAATTGGGTAGAACAAATGAATTTCTCTTCCCATAGAGACAATCCTAGTTTGAAACTATGAAGAATTTACAGTTTGTTCTTGTCTTAGCCATTGTTACTGCTTTCTGATAGATAGATAGATAGATNACACACACACACACACACACACACACATCAATCAAATTTACATCCTTGACTATCCCACAGAAAGTGACTCAGGGCTGCACACAGTAAAATCAGGAAATGAATAAGACAATAATTAGTTACAACCATTACCTACTTATTTAAAAAATGAGAAATTATAAAAGCAGACACAAAAAAAGAGAACAATAGAGAGACAGACATATTAATAATAAGGGAGCCACCTCATGAATTCACCCGTCCCTGGGGCTCCCAGTCCTGCTGCCCTAATATGAAAGATATATTACACTAGGATTTATTGGAATAAGCCTTCAAGAAAATATGTATGAGTTTTAGTGCGGGTTTTTTTAAAAAATGTAAGAAAAGTAGGCATGGCACAAAAGAAGGTTGAGAAATGAGAAATGGAACAAAACCTAAAGATCCATAGATGTTCTTACACGTATTTGTAAATGGTGTCATGCTATTTTACAAAATAACATTCTTCCATTTGTTTGGTAACACTTCATACCATTTGGCAGCTATCTCTCCTATCACTCTGACATTAGCTTGAGAAGTACATAAATACAGTCTGTTCATCAAGCCTACTCACTGTCATCTGGTGGGGGAATTAAAAAAAACCACATTAAACCTTATAATTACCCTTGTCCTTTCCTCCCTAAGATACACATTTATTTTTCAATTATCAGTCTGAGGTTTTTTTCCTGAGTTGCCATATTAAGGGTGCCATTGTCGTTTCATCATTGGAATCTAAAAGTCTCAGAGGTTACATAGCAAATAAATAAAATAAAATAATAAAGTAAGATTAAAATAAAACCATCAAGGCACATCAGCTGTATGGATGGGATCTATCCAACTCCAAAAGTACAAACAAACAAACAAACACAGATGCTCAGGAAGGCAGAAACTTCCATTTCCTCCCTGACTAACTGACATAGAATAATTTTGCCTGCTATTATAAAAGACAGAATTCCTGTTGTATCTGTTCTGTCCCAGGACAACCAGAAAAAATATACAAAGGGGTGGCTTTGTTCTCTTTAATAAATGAGGCTTGCCAAGACATCACTTGCAATACAGAGATAAGTTCAGTGGTGGGATGCTACCAGTTTAACAACTGGTTTGGTGAGCGCACGCTTTGTGTGCACAAATGCACCTAAAGCACTTGCGTGCAGCACTGAAAATGTAGCATTTAGAAGCTCAGCTGCTTATCTTCCACATCAGCAACAGTAAGTAGAACAGCAAGGGGGCAGAAATCAGCTGTGCTGTGCAATTGAGATAAACTAGAAAGCAGGAAATAAAGGACAGGATAGGGCGGGGAAAGGTGGGTGGGGCCAACTGATTGTCAAAACTACCGGTTCTCCTGAACCGGTCTGAACCAGCTGAATACCACCTCTGCATAAGTTCAGCAAGTTTGGCTTACAAGGTTTCCAAATCACAGAGGCAAGCGGGAGAGAGTGTAGATCAGTGGTTCTCAACCTGTGGGTCGGGACCCCTTTGGGGGTCGAACAACTCTTTCACAGGAGTCATCTAAGGNCCCAGATTGTTGGGGGCAATGGGCTGACTCTGTAAAGCGCTTAGAGAGGGCTGTAAAAGCACTATATAAGTCTAAGTACTGAGATGGCTGAGATGCCATTTATATAATCAGCTACCAATGGATTCACTTTCTATTTCTTGACAGTTAATCTATTTTTCCCTCCATTATTTTCCCAGCCATTCCACAGCCTTTCAAATATTGTGTGTATCAACATACTGTATATAATGCAGGTATTACATCAACAGTCTAATTGGTGATGTTCACTCATTTTTAAATGTTTCCTTTTCTCCCTTGCTCTCAATTTGTTTTCTCTTGAATAAATGCAAACTCCCAGACACATTTTTCACAAGCTTATGTCAAGTTAACTTTCTGTGGCAATGCATATGTAGATGATAAATCTTCTACCACCTTCCCCATATATTATCTTCACAAGGTTGAATCCCATATCAAGATATTCCTAAACAAGCAGTCTTATATGATAAGATACTTTAAGGCTAAAATTTTGGAATTCAAAAGATATGTATGTTCTCCAATATGTTCTACCTTAGAAAAACTTACTCCTGATTCTTTTTAAAAACAAAACATTAGAAATGTACAACCTCATAATCACTATGAAAAGGTCTTCTTTTCTCATCAGATGCTTCTTTCTAAGCGGTCTCTGAAACTTATGTGCGACAGAGCAGATATCATAAAATCTGTTTGAGGCTATCATTTTCCTTCATTGTGTTATACCTAGAATAGTGCAGAAGGACACCCCAAGGACAGGGAGTCTAGAGAAACAGAATTTTCCAGGGCTCCTGTGTCCTTGAGATGTCACCTTGCCACAAGCATGACTCACCCCCCAAAAAAGGATGAAAACAATGCACAGTGTTTGACAAAAGACTTACATCATCCATGCTGAAAGCTCCAACATTGCCACTAGGTAAGGGGCACATGGATGAAGTATTCGTTCTATGGCAACTGAGAATAGCAGAAGGTTATGATCCATGGTGGTGCAGTGGTTAGAGTGCAGTACTGCAGGCTACTTCTGCTGACTGCTGGTGGACTTCAATTTGGCAGTTCAAACCTCACCAGGCTCAAGGTTGACTCAGCCTTCTATCCTTCCAAGGTGGGTAAAATGAGGACCCAGATTGTTGGGAGCAAGAGGCTGACTCTGTAAACTGCTTAGAGAGAGCTGCAAAGCACTGTAAAGTGGTATACAAGTCGTAAGTGCTATTGCTATTTGGTGAAAGATAATTGGAGTTTTCTTCTTCTGATGGCATCATTAAGAGCCCAACAAGAGAGTAGAATTAAACCCCAACAATAGACAAGATGTCCTTTTTCCCCCAATAAGACATTTATGGAGAATGGAGATGTTGTTTTATGATTTTGACACAGAATATCGATATTCTTCTGTTTCATCCTTGTGGCATATAAATAATCTACTTCGGTGCTCATGTTTTCTTCTGTTACTTTCCTCCCTCTTCACTGCTTTCTAGGCTCATCAAACATGGTTACTGGGGAAACCAAAAGTTTCTTCAGCTTTGCAAAATCGGTAAGTATGAGGCCCTTCCGGCTTGGTTAGAGCTTATTTGTGTGTGCTGTGCTCCGAGTCTCTCTTTGTTTCCCTCCCATTTTCTCCCCTCTCTCCCTTCAACAGCATGACTCATCTTTTTCAGATTCAGATCCAAGCTAGGCATTATCCACAGCAGAGGTATGAATGTTTCATTAAGTTTATTGATTTCTTCTTTGCCTATAGAGACAATGGAAGGAGGTGCTGCTTAAATACATTTCCAGCTAGATATGAATAAAAAAGCCACTGGATGATTGTTGAAATCCTCTGTTATAGAACCAGGGGTGAGTTGCTGCAGGTTCACACTGCCAAGGATCTCTGGACTTTGGTGAACCCGCAAATCCCACCCCTGGCTGGTCCCTCCCCTCCCACCCTTCCCAGAAGTCTCCACGTGGCCCATTTTGGATGCTGGTACAGGGCTCGTGTAGAGGCTCAGGGAAGGAAAAAACCAGTTCTCCTGGAAGTTTCTGGAAGGCTGGAAACGGGCTCATTTCTGGCCTCTAGAGGCCCTCTGGAGTCCAGGCAGGCCATTTTTGCCATCCCGGAGGCTCAAGGAAAGCTTCCCAAGCCTGGGGAGGGTGAAAAATAGGACTCCCAGAAGTTAGGGAAGGCCAGAAACGGGCTCATTTCCAGGCCTCCAGAGCCCCGGGACGCTATTTTTACCCTCCCAAACGATCAAGGAAAGCCTCTGGAGCCCGGGGAGGGTGAAAACACTCCCCTCCCCATGGTGCAGCAGGATGACTAGGCTACGCCCACCCAGCAAGCAGGCCGAGAACCCATTGCTAAAACATTTGAAGCCCACCCCTGCATAGAACCCAGGTTAGAAACAGGTGGGATTTTGAGACCAGCTAATTTAGAACAGTCCAAGGCTTGGATCACGAGCCTATGGCCACCAATGCACAGAATTGGCTCACGGATCTGAGTAGGTGTTCAGGTCCCAAGTCCAAAATAAATACTGCAAATTCTCACTTGGTTTGTGCATCACGACGAACCCGTGTGTATTTTAATGTTGATTTGTTGAATAACCCTATCTGCTTCATTCACAAATCTCAGTGAGCCACAACCTGTTTTTAGGGGCTGTGCATAATTGGCTGAATTCAAATATGGTATTAATGCAGAGGGTGTACAGTTGCTGCCTCTTTTACCTTTTGTGGCACAGCTGCCTTTCAAAAGTGAATCTGCAGGGGCAATTGAGGTGTGAAAGAAAGGGTGCCTTAAATCCCAACAGTTTGCTTTTAAGCTCACACAAATTCCAAAAATGTAAAAAGAAAATTTGACCATCCATTCTGGGAGCTTTGAAATGGTTGGTGGGCTAAAGTAGAACCAAAAATGTTTATCCTATTATGGCTTTGATTTCATTGGGTAAAAAAAATCAAAAAGTGAATTAAAGTACATTGTCATTGAATGAATGAATGAATGAATGAATGAATGATCTCTGCACATCCTTACTAGGTTCACACTGACTAAACCATTCCAGTTTTAGCTTAGTGTGTCATTGCAGATTCAGCCATTGTGGTTTATAAACTGTTATGTATGGTCTAGGGTGATATATAAACTAAGCCATGGTGTCTTGTTCATTTTATTTAAACTCTGGCTTATGGCAAAGTGGAAACCCATCCAGTTTTCTCCTAACCTAGATTTGAGAAGGGAGAGTTGCCCTTTTCATGTGAAAATTGGGAGAGTGAGCTAGTACATCTTGAGAGCAAAAGGTTCATCTGGATCTACCTGTCAACTCATTCAGCATTCCTGGCCTGCTTTCGAGTTGCCATTGGCAGGAGTGGGGAGAACTGATGCAGCAGCTTGGCAGCCATGACTGGAAGCAAATTCCACACATACTTTTCTCAAGCCTGTATCTCAGATTACCAGAGCCAGCCAGGGAGAGGCATGTTTTCTACAGACCGTGAAAGTACTCCATTGCAGAATGTGATTTATGACACCTTGTGAGGAGGAGGGGGAACAGGGTCATAGTTGAGCCATAAATTACGTGGGGCAGAGTTGACTTCATTTGGTACGTGCTGACTTGTTGCTCCTAATAAATAATTGGATTTCTTTTGAAACTTGGCTTGAGGCTCATGAGTTAATTAGGGCATCTGTAGGAACTCTGACAGCTCCTTTGTTTCATGCCTTTGTTTTTGAGACCCTTCGAAGTCTATACTCCAGCTCCTGGCCTCCCATCTTCTGTAGAGTGAGTGAGTGAGTGAGTGAGTGAGTGAGTGAGTGAGTGATTATGAAGTACATCATGCATTTCCAGTGTAATACACACATGGAATATACACATGGAATACCTTGGTTCTAATCTTGTTGCAATTTGTGTTCCCTTAGTGGTGGCAAGTGGAGAAAGTAAATCCTATCAAACTTTATGAAGAAAACAAAGTCATGGCTGGATTTTCTCTGCTGAACCTGCTTTTCAAACAGGGCCGAAGTAGCCTTGTCACTAAAGTAATGGACAATCTCATAAAACTTTACAACGAGAAGAAGATCAAACCAGTGGTTGATTCACTGTGGGCACTGGAAGAGGTAAGCACTTTATCTTGTTCCTTCTCTGATATGTTAGTTTTGGTTTTATTTTTTAAACAATGTATTATTAAAATAGGTCATGGACATTCCATCTGCATTCTTCAAACAGCAGCACGGGAGTACTGGGGTTTTGTAAGTTTGTATTTTTAAAATGTAACTCTCTGCATAGAGATGAGAAAAGGAAGGATCCCCATTTCCTGGTTTTATGCTCTAGTGTTTTAATTATTAGCATACACAGTGTAGCTTATTTAAACATTGGCAGTGTTCCTTCCTGTTTAAAAAACACAACAACTTGAATGCTTTCCAGCCATGTGTACTTTGATGTCTGTTGTATCTTACAGTGGATTTTTTAGCTTATTGTTTCAAAAAGCTTCTAGGCAGTGCTTGCAGACATGGCAGCCTTCCCACACAGCATTAGACAACAAATACTAAATGTTTCAGCCAGCCATGCTGGTTAAAGGTGGGATGCTTTGTCTGGCATAGAGTTTTCCAACCTGAACAACTTCCATATGTGTGTCGACTTCAATTCCCAGATCACTCAGCAATGGCCACAATGGTTAGTGAATTCTTGGAGTTAATTCATTTGCCCAGGTTAGGAAACCTAGCACACCTGAAGAGCATCAGACACACATGAGGAAAAACAGGTAGGAAGAAAGCTACAATACTTCAGAGAGATAAGGACTCTGGCTGAACAAGAGTCAAAAAGAAAAACAAAAAAAGTGTACTGAAGGAAGAACTGAAGACTTAGCTAGAAAAAGGTTAGTATCTTGAGGGGAGTTAAAGACTTGAGAAAGGCCCTCTAAGCATGCCATGCTTGTTGGGTGCCATAATTAAAATATTTATTTATTTGTTTATTTACTTACTTACTACCTGATAACCTGGTGTCATCTGGGTATTTATTTATAGGGGGAAAATGTCCTGACCAAATGTAATTTCTAATGTTGGATTTTCCTCCTTACCAGANAGTGTCAATACCATTTTATAATGCCTTGGTAAGGCCACACTTGGAATTCTGCATTCAGTTTTGGTCACCACGATGTAGAAAAGATGTGGAGAGTCTAGAAAGATTGCAGAGAAGAGCAACAAAGATGATTAGGGGACTGGAGACTAAAATATATGAAGAACGGTTGCAGGAACTGGGTATGTCTAGTTTAATAGAAAGAAGGACTAGGGGAGACATGATAGCAGTGTTCCAATATCTTAGGGGCTGTCACAAAGAAGACGGAGTCAAAATACAAGGCACCTGAGGGTAGAACAAGAAGCAATGGGTGGAAACTAATCAAGGAAGCAACTTAGAACTGAGGAAAAATTTCCTGACAGAACAATTAATCAGTGGAACAGCTTGGCTCCAGAAGTTGTGAATGCCCCAACATTGAAAGTCTTTAAGAAGATGTTGGATAGCCATTTGTCTGAAACGGTATAGGATTTCCTGGCTAGGCAGGGGGTTGGACTAGAAGACTCCAAGGTCCCTTCCAACTCTGCTATTGCATTGTATTATTGTATTATAATCTTCTCCAGCACCATAGTTCAAAGGCCTCCATTCTTTGGCCCTCAGACTTCCTTATGGTCCAACCTTCACAGCCATCCATTGCAACTGGGAAAATCATAGCCTTGACTATATGCATCTTTGTTGGCATGTCTCTGTTTTTTAGTATGCTGTCTAGATTTGCCACATCTTTCCTCCCCAGCAACAAGCGGGGGACACACATTACCCATTCTTATATTAAGCTCTGATCATCCAAGTAGAAAGATTATTCCGCCCATTCAAATAATTGGTTATCAGGAATGATGGAATATTTTGTGTAATGGAAGGTCCTGGAATTGGTAAAAATAAGTTCAACCCACCACTGATCATATTGGTATAGGCAACGTTGTATCATTCAATGAATTGTGTTTATTCAATAACTCTTGATTAATCACTTCATTGTATTGTGAAAAGACCTATAAAGTGTATAGAAACCTTAATAACCTCTTTCCCCTTTTCTCTCATCCATATTAAGTGCATATATTGTCACAGAAAGCACAAGTAATTTCTTTTTTTCTATAATATGGCATTTGAGCACCTCCTGAGGCACGGCTATATTTTCAAAGAACAAATGATACATAGACAGCACGGTTATTTTTTTCCCCTTGATAGAAGCAATCAAAACATTTGTTCTCTGCAGACTTAAGGGCTTGTAAAATTGCAGTTGGCTGCTAATCATTCTATACCTTTAGCAAAATTCCAAATTAAAGCAAGGATTGGGAACCATTGAAGGTCAAAAAGGTTTTTTAATTCAGCTGAACAATAAAGTGCCTGCGTTCTTTAGGGGAGGAAATGGGTTGGATGCTATCCATCAGAGCTGGCTGGCCTGTGAATGGTGCTGTGAACCATTCAGCAACATCGGGAGCCCCACATGTTAAATGGATTGCTATCATAATGAAGTAAGTCATTCCCTAATTGTTATTGAACAAATCATATTCAGAATAGATAAACTAGATGGTTTGGAGACCCCTTGTAAACATTGGGCTTGCATAAATCAGATTCAGGTTGAAATCCCCACTTGATCTCCAGATGAGGGATGTTACAGTGGGATTCAGCCGGTTCAGGCAAACCGATTGTTAAATTGCTGGTTGGCCTTGCGCCTTCCAGGAGTCCCCACACACCCCGTTTTGCTTGCAGGAGACTGCAGGGAGGCCTATTAGGCCCAAAACAGGGCGCGGGGGGGGGGGTGCAGCACTTCCCCCATGGCCCATTTTTTGCTTGCAGGAGGCTGCAGGGAAGCCTACTAGGCCCAAAATGGGGCACCCCCTGTGGCCCATGTTTGCTCCCGGGGGGTGCAGGAGGCCGAGTGCTGCCTGTCACACCCCCTGGCCATGGCCACCATGGCCACGCCCACCCAGCCGGTCATTAGGGCAGAGAACCAGTTGTTAAATTATTTGAATCCCTGGTGATGAACCCTCAGCCCAACACTCTTCCTTGGGAATTGTGGGAATGCAATGAGAGAAACTTTCCCCTACTCTGAGTTACCAGGAGGAGATAGAAATATAATGATAGATCCATGAATTGTTACTAAACATGCAATATTATAATTTAAGACGTGTGTGTGTATCCAGCCCTACTAAGGTGCCGAGCTGAAGCTAAGCTTTTCCAGATGCAGCCCACATACAGTGTGGAAATTGCTAATGGTGACAAAATAATCGATCATTCCGTCTTGCCTCTTTACAATCTGGTCACTCCAGGATGTGTTCATGTAGTTTTCTTAACCATAACAGCTTCACAATTGCTGCTTTATGGGGTATTTTGGAGAGATTTCAGCTCAGGTACTTCAGGTAGATGCCCTAAAAGGGACCGCAGAGCTCAAAGACTGGATAAAAGATGCCCATAGCAACTGCCATAGGGGTACGATTATGCACCAGTTGGAATAACGTAGATGATGTTCTTGTTGTGACCTCCACCAAAATGATATTTCTATATTTTTATAACCACGTCATGTGTTATAATCTGGTTTTGTTACATTAACGTAATGCTTTCTGGTTTTGCCATTGTATTGTTTACTGCATGTTATTATATACGCCGTATGCTGCCTAAACTCTCTTTGAATTGACCTCATGTATAAATGTAATATTTAACTCTGTGATTGCAGGAATTTGTTCATGTATCATAAAATGAAGCTGCAGTCCATCAAAGGACCCCATCAATCATTAAAAAAAAATCATAGCAGAGAATAGAAATCCAGAGTTCTTATCTTCCAAAGTGATATTCAGTTCAATATCCTCCCAAGAAGGTAGAAATGGGATTGCACATGGCACTTCAATTGTATCCATCAGGGCTGCTTTCCAGATGCTTTTATTACATTATTATTCTCTAAAGTCACACGGTGTGGGAGAGATAACCTTGGAAAAAGCATCATTAGAAGAGCAGGGACAGAAGAAGCATGTTGTAAGCCCAGGGATGTAGGACAGCATTAGAAGAAGACTTAGGTTGGATTCTTTTCGATCCCCAGGTATAAAAGACAGGCGGAAGCGAAAACACAAGCAGACCTGCAAGATTGTGTTATTGTAGCCTATCACCAAAATGTTTCAGTCCAATCTTTCTGTAGAGTGAATTTCCTGATCTGATGTACCTTGTAGGGCTGACACATGGAGGACAATCCTGAAGAATTCTAAGAGCTTTAGTCTAAGTCTTCTGAAGGCCTTGTGTTCCAACTTCTGCCAGACACATTTACCCAAAAGAAATCTCCAAACATACTCGTAGGAAACAGATACAGATTGACAGAGTTGGAAGGGAACTCGTTAGTCATCTAGTCCAACCCCCCACCTAAGCAGACCTACACCCTTTCTGATAGATGACAGTCCAATTATGAAGTTCCCAGAACTTCTGAAGGCAACTTCTGTTCCATTGATTGATTGCTCTCACTGTCAGAAAATTTCTCCTCATTTCTAGGTTGAATCTCTCCTTGTTCAGTTTCCATCCATTATTCCTTGTCTGGCCTTCAGATGTTTTGGAAAATAGCTTGACCCCTTCCTCCTAGAACATCCTAAAACAAGTTTTAGACAGCAGCTTTCCTAGTTCTGTATTATTCTGGTGATACAATATTTTCTTTTCTTGTGATGTATAATTAATTCCATGTCTTTCTTGGGCTTACACTAAAAGTCAACATAGGCACATATTTTTTTACATACATAAATATACAAGGAAACATACTTGTGCCCAAAAACCAATTGTAGGGGGGTATTTTTTGTTTTTAATTTGATTTGCTTTTGCATCACAAAGAGGATTAAAATTTAAGATCTGTTTGATTATAGGTGAAGGAAGCAATGCAAAGAATCCATGACAGAGGTAATATAGGAAAATTAATTCTGGATGTGGAGAAGACACCTACTCCTTTGGTAAGTTACAAGAAGTAGAAGATTTCAACTCCAACATTGATCAATATGTGAATATTGAAGAAACCTTTGCACCCTTTATTAGCCCCCTGGGTGACCTGTTGGGTTCTTGTTTTAGAGGTATTTTTATTACCAAATTCCTCAATACCTTCAACAATGGCAGAACTTCTAATGTTTTATCTTCACTGGAAAAGTTCTTAAATTTCAAGGAGATATGCAGAGATGTGAGTATTTGAAAATAGCCCATGTTGAATTGTCAAACATCAGGAGTTGGCCATAGAAGAGGTTTTATGACATTTGTATTATATCATAAAGTTTTATGATAATGTTTATGTCATGAAATGTTCTATAAATTTTGCAAAATTTCAATTCTGTGAAAGTCAATTCCATGAAAGTTTGGAATGCATTTGGAGATCTGCCAGTTGGTGATCATGCCTTTGCAAATCATTGCTTGGATCCATCATTTCTCCTTTTACTCAAAACACCTTGAAAATGACACAATGTATGCAAACCTGGATGGGTTGGGCATCTCTGCATGTGTAAGAGATGATGGTGATGAACTTAAAGGTCACTCCCAAAATTATGGCACTCCTCCCCTTTCATTTTGTTCTTGCAATTCTTGACAAAGTTTTGGAATGGTGATACCTCTGCCTTTAGGGTCTTCTCCATTAGGCTGATTGCTTTGCACATCAGCCAGAGAATTATATTGACTGATGTGCATCCTTTCGGTTCCGTCTCATCCCCAGATGGCCAACGACAGCACAGAGACCAGCGAAGCTGCCGAAGAGGAAGAAGACCACGAGGGGGACAGTGAGAACAAAGAGTGTATACCATTCATTCAACAGTAGTTGGAAAAGGTGGGAAATGAGAGCTGGACGAGTTGATGAAGCAGAAGAAGGGAAGACAACTGGGGAAACCCATTTTGTGCACCAGTGAACAAATGCTCTAGTACAGTGTGTGCTGTTTTGTTTTTCCTTTTGTCTGCAGTCAGCTGAGCTATCAGGTGTTGGTCATTGATGTTTTGAACTGAAGTGCCATTCTGACTTTCCCAGTATTAAGACATTCCATCCTGTGGTCTCCAGTTTGCCTGTAAGAGTCTTGTTGAATACCTATCAAAAGCCTTATTGTCATCTACAGCGATAGGAGACACAAACATCTTTCCATGTTGGTTCCAGAAATAAATTTTCAATCCACTTTGATAGGGTTGACATGGGTTAGTTTTGGAGAGAAGCAGGGGATGTTAGGTTCTGTGGACAGGTAGTCCATATGTACAATAATTGCAGATATGCATAGCCCGGACTGTTCTTGGCATTTTGGCCACTTAAAACATGAGTATTCCCAGACTAACACCCCCCCCCACCTATTACCAATTTTATTTAGGTAATTTAAAATTAAAATTGAGAGCCAGTTTAATGTGATAGTTAAAGCATCAGGCTAGAAAGCAGGAAAGTGTAAATTGTAATTCCACTTTGGGAACCAAGCCAGTTGAATAATCTTGGGCCAGTCATTTTCTGTGAGCTCTAAGAACCAGGCAATGGCAAACCACTTTTAAAAAACCTTGCCAAAACAGGGGGATGGTAGAAATCCTTTAGGCAATCCAATCTGAGAATTGGACACCATTGAACCAAAGAGAAACAAGTTAAAATTAGTGATTTGATAATATGGGGCTGGGTGTGGGGATGTGGATGAAAGGAATTCAAGTTATTAAAATGTAGTTACAGTGAAGGAAACAAGAAAAAATATTTCATGCTTGCTTTCTCTTTGGTGACACCTAATTTTTCTTTTTCCCCAGCTCCCCTGTTCAGACTGATCCACAGGCAAACTTTCTACTCATGTTTTATAATAAGTGGGAAAGTTAGTACAAATAGACCCTCCCTCTATTGATAAACTGATACAAAGCCTTAAACCATTGCATAGGCCAATGTTCTCCTTCATGACAAAATTCTAATCATTAACTGGGCAATGATATGAATGAACCCTGATAAATCCATGTGCACACAAAGCCCTCTCCGACTATACATTTGGAGAAGTGTTCATGATGTATAAATTAATGTGCATCTTCTCCTTTATGGGCCTAAAGAAGGAAAATCCTCTTTTTGAATCACAAACTAAGCCTGCTATGGTAGGCAATTGCCAATTTTTCCTGCTCTGTAAAATCACTCCATCTTTGTTAGACGAGCAACTCCTTCTCATTTCTCAAGAAAATACCTCATGTGTACAATATTGTTTGGTATACAAAGAAAACAATCCTCAAGAGATGTTAAGACGCGCTGTGATTTGTGTAACTCTCAGTGTATAATAGTTGTTGCGGGAATAGTAGTGCTCAGACTCCACCAATGAATTAAAATGGGTTTGTTGAAAATATTGCCAACAAATGTTTACAGTTGGTTTGCCTAAATTATATTATTGTACGAAGAAAATTCTTCAGAATGACTTTATACTTTCCTATCCTAAATGTTGATTTAGCATCTTTTGTTTAGCATTGTTAAGCAAAACAGCACTCTTAATAATATTTAAAGTAGTTCAAGAGTAAATAGCTCCATTCAACACATTTAAAGAAATATTAGCCTCTTAATGCTTTATCCAAATGCTGACACTTTGTGTAAACTTCACTTCTTGTCTCACTTCTTGTCTTATTACTATTTTTCTTATAGGCAAAGAACTGGGATGCCATATCTTGTACTCACAGAGAACATAGATTTCCTATGCAGTTTTAGTGTTATCCGCTTTATTAATCAAAGAAAATATTTGTCCAAATGTCTTGGAGAGCCACTAAACTATTACTAGCATCTTTCCTCAAAAGAAAGATGCATTTGGATTAATGTATTATTTGAAACATTCCAATTTTATTTTTCTAATTTTCTGTTATGTGCTTTTTGTCTGTTGAACCATTGGGTTCTGTTAGGATCCTAAAACATTGACTTTGACAATAAGCCATTTTACAAAGATGATTCTGTTCTGTTCCTTGAAGTTGTTGATCAAACCACTTCAAACTTCGAACCACAGGTGAAAACAAATCCAAGTTAAGGATGATTTTTAAAAAACCCAAAGAAAGGGAGGGAGTTGAGATATCAAGATGTTAGAGTGATTGATCATTATTTGTACAAATCATTTAGTACAGATTCAGAGTGATAGAAAATAAAACAGCCCGTCTTAAGTGGTGGTATGCAGTTCAATCAGACTTGATAGGAATTTTATTGGTTTTTAGAAAGTGGCGGAAGCATCTTCTTGTCCATTTCTGCATTGTTACTTCGCCCCCCCCCCCTCAAATTTCCAGTTGTGTTTTTTTCCAAGGTGCGGAAAATAGCTTTAATGGTAGGAGAATATCTATACTACCATATTTTTTAGATTATAAGACACACCTTTTCCTCCCTAAAAGAGTGTGAAAATGTTGGTGCGTCTTATACACCAAATGCAGCCATTTTTGGCCTCCTGAAGCCTCATCTACACATCCCATTTTTGTGAAAAATGGGGCATTTTTGCCTTCCCCTGGCCTCCAGAAGTGGTCTGCAGGCTTCAGCATGGCTGGGGGAAGGCAAAAATGCCCCTGTTTTTGCAGAAAATGGCCCGTTTTTTGCCTGATTTCCACAAAATTGGCATTTTTGCCTTCCCCCAGCCCTGCTGAAGTCTGCAGAGTGCTCCTGGGGGCTGGGGAGGACAAAAACTTTTTTTTCTTACTTACCTTTTCGAAATATTGGTGTGCCTTATACACCAGTGCATCTTATAGTTTGAAAAATACGGTAGTTTGGAATTCTAACAGGTCTGAGACTTAATCCAGAGCTAGATTGGGACACAGATCCATTCAAATAATTTATTTGATTTTGAAAATTGATCGGATTTGCATTGACTCATAAAACTGACGTGAGTCGAGTCAAATGTTTGGATCAAACAAGCAAATTGATTCAATTTTTTTTTTAAGAGCCATTTTTGCATCTCCATCAAAAATAAAAATAAAATCCAGGGCACTTCAAAAGGATCCAATAAGATTTAAGCACCTGTCCAATGTATTTTTTTTTTAAAGTCAGTTTGTTTTCAATACTTGATTGAATCTCTTTCAGGTGCGTAATCTTCTTCAGACAGAATGTTTGCACATTAGTAAAAAGTGACCAGCTTTGATTCAAGCCCTGCTTTTGGAAGCATTTCACTGGCAGCATCGTTATAACCACACTGTTGTTTATAAGAGCCTGCTCTAGTTATCCACTGCCCTGCCAATAGATTTTATAGCCATCATTAAAATAATATTCCTGCAACGTTCCAATTCTACCACCATCAGCCTTCTCTTCTTACCCAGGTACCTCTAGCAGTGCAACAATGATTAATAGCCTCTTTCTTCATGGATTGGTTTCAACTCAGTTTTGAAAGCCATTTAAATTGCAGCTGTTGCACATTCGTGTTACCATTCTGTTTTTGTGACTCATACGGCAGCTCTTCTTTTTCCTGTAGTAAATGTATCTCCGCAGAATGCCCATCTCTTCAAGAATATAGAAGAAAGCAAAAAGAGATGGAATGAAGGGATCATGTCAAACAAATGCCAAAAGAATGCCATGTTTTAGGTATGCTTTAAGGGCAGGAGCCATTGCAAGCTTAACACTGTAATCAAATCAAACTTTATTATGGTCATTAACCAACATATACCAGTATCAAAAGTTGCCTCTTCCAAGAAGATAAGCTGAGCCTTCACTTGAATCTTCCTTTTAGACTTTGGAGGACAGAGATGACTTTGATAAACACTCCCTGAGTGGGTGAATCTTTTCGCAACATTGTGGCTGTCCACATATTTATCTACTTGTTTTTTAATTCAATCCCCAGAGATGCCCAGCAATTAGAAATTAGACCAGTGACAGCCAAGAATTGATCATAAGCTCTTTACTTAAGCAGGGGCAGATGCTTTAAAACTTCCATCTTTTGACATTTTTACGAGTAAAATTTTTGAAAGAAAACTTTTAGAAATAAGGCAAAGCTGCAGGGATTGCTTTTGGTGGAAGAGATTCATCTCCATGGCTAAATAACAGAATAACAGAGTTGGAAGGGACCTTGGAAGTCTTCCAGTCCAGCCACCTGCTCAGGCAGGAAACCCTATACCTTTTCAGACAAATAGTCTAACTTTAAGATGAAGCAGAGTTCTGGAGCATGGAGAGGGAAACGTTACAATGTTTTCTGTACCATGCATGTGGTAGAAATAATGCATAAATCCCTAAATCTCTTGTGCATCCTCCTGGATACATTCTTCCTCACTAATTTGTAATGTTTTGTAATCCCTTAGGCCTGACTTCTAATCCGTTGTCCATCAGTCTTACATTGCAGAAAGAGAAATGCATTCTTACTTTCCCTTGGGCAGGTTTGCCCTTCTTGATGATGGCCAAGATACCCAGAAGGCAGCCAACCCAAAGCCGAAACCTCTCGTCAGCAATGCAAAATGTATTATTTCACCCGATTCTCATCTTGAGTGGAGGAGATGAGGGACAAAAAACAGGATATATCTTCTGTTTCCCACATGTCTGGTAACTATTCAGGAAGAATATGATAGCTTTATTGATTAGCCCATAGGCCATATCAAAGCACAAGGTTCAAACACATATCACCAATAAAATCTTATGCAAACAATTTAAAATAAGAGTAGGGTAAAATGCAATATTTATAAGTTGGGATAGAATATAATTTAATACATAAATATATAAAATAGAATAAAATGACACAAAATTATATTTCAGTGTCACCCTTACAATCTACCCCAATCAGTCCCACTTATGCAGATCTCAATCAAATCATTTTGTTTAAGTACTGCATTGAATGCTATTTTCATTCTGGCCACACATAAAGTAAGTTGTTTTGATACGGGGATCCAAATGGGTCATTTGTTTGGTATATGTACCAAGATACCTGACTCTTACTCCCTTATACAAGCCACAATCAAATAGGACGTGAGCCAGGTCTTCTACCTCTGCCGCTCCACAAATCCAGAGATGCTCATTGTAGGGTATAGAATGGGATCTCCCATGTCTGTATTATATTATATTGCATCTTATCCTATAACTATTATATTTTACCCTATTATTTTAAATTGTATAGGATTTTATTGGTGATGTGTTTGAAACTTGTGCTTTGATATGGCCTATAGGCTAATCAATAAAGCTATAAACTAATTGGCCAAAAAGAAGATTCAGGTGCTGAGTTTATAATTTGAGAGAAAGGAAGCCAGAAAATTAATTGGCATTAGATTAGCCTTGCTTCCCCCACATTTTAGAGATGTCGTGAGGATAGCATCAGAACTTCTGTGATTCAGCTCCTTTTGTGCTTGAAGGTCAAGGTACATATGAAGTACGCTAAGTTTGCTCCTCTTCAGCTTTGATGTTGACTTTGGATTGTTGTCAACTCAAGACAAATTGATCTCATGCTTAGTCCTGCAGCATTGCAAATATTGAAACAAAAGGGTGCGCATTGGTGGATCATTTCTTTGCTTACAATTCTCAATTGTGGACATCACTTCAGAAACACAACTCTCCTTGGATGCATTCTTTTGAAAAAAGCCGGTGCTTATATTTTATGAGCTGCAGAGAGGCTTTTGCATCAAGTGGGATCAAAATAGCCCAACATTCACGCAAACTTAGCAGTGCCTGTGATCCCTTGAATTCAATCTTACGAGCCTGAGCTTCACTGGACCCTGGATTTTCTCCTGGGATTAGGTGAAAAAGTGCAAAGCATTAGAAGCTCCTTTTAAACTCTTGGCTTACCTCCTCCCCATCTGTCCACAAAGCAACTGTATTTACCTAAAATTGCAGCTTGGCTCTTCGGGGAAATTTAGAAAGGGATATCATCACTTGAATTTTGAAAGAGATTACTGCCCCAGGGGTGAAATCAACTTACCTTCGCTACCAATTTGCAAATGTTGAGCTTTGCTTGCATGCACCCCCTCCGCGCATGTGCAGAACCTTCCGCGCATGCACAGAGTGTCAAAAATGGGAC